AGAAGAGCACCTCTGAGATAAAAAAAAAAAATGAAATCTTGGAAAACACATATCTACTTTGTAAAGAAGAGAATGAGAAGCTGCAAAACACATATCTACTTTGTAAAGAAGAGAATGAGAAGCTGCAAAACACATATCTACTTTGTAAAGAAGAGAATGAGAAGCTGCAAAACAAAATAAGATTACTGGAAAAAGATAACATTGAGTTTATTATCAAAATAAGTAGACTTGAAACAATAGTTGAAGTTCTAGTTGACCATAACAAACTAATAGAAGAGCTTAACTCAGAAAAAGGGGATACTATTGAAAATAAAATAGAAGAAATTAAGAAAAGTAATGATATAATTGAAAAATCCTTAGGTGATCAGGGTATAAGAATAGATGAACACGAAACAGATATAAATATGACCAGAGTTATGATACAAAAACTCTTTAACGACCTACAATCAGAAAAATTAGAAAAAGAAGAGATAGATAAACTACTAACAGAAGTAATAAGAAAAGGATATTTAGCAGTGGTTGAGAAAAAGGTGGATAAGAGAAAAAAGAAAAGAGAAAAGAAAGAAAAGACTGTTGATGAAAAATTGAGTGATGCACGTAAAGAACTTCTACAACTTGAAGAATGGACAGAGAAAAGAGTTGAAAGGATTGTGTTTGATTCAGAGATTGATAATTGGTCAGAAGGGGAATCAGTATTTGACCAAAGACTACTAGGTAAAGAACATTTAGTAATAGTTATTGAAAGTGAAGAACGGGAAAAATTTGGTGGTTATATTAACTCTATGATAATTAATGAATACTTTATTGCTGATCCAAATTCATTTCTATTTTCGTTAGAGTCAAATGGAAGACTAAATGGAATGATGAGGTACAACCTAAGAGAGGGTCAGTCTCAATTTGCATTTCATCTACCAAATGCAAACAGTGATTGGTTATTATCTTTCGGACATCGTGGGGATGACCTTTCCGTTGCAAAGAAGGATAACAAATCAGAATCTCATTGTAGAGAAAACTCATTTGAATCTAATGGGATTGAAGAACCTCTTTGTGAAAGAACAGAGTCAGGAACATTTACACCAATTAGAATTATTGTTATTCAAATGATATAAGTAAGTATTCTTTTACTTTTGTTTTAAAGAACTTTTGATTGTTCATTAGTAATTTTACCATAGTTATTCGAATGAGAGTTTTATTGCACAAGTCAAAAATTTATTCTTTTGTAATTATTGTATTCCCCCCCCCCCCCAATTAAACTCTAGGGTTTTAGTTGTACTTAAAAACTTAATGAAAAAATTATATAGAGCGAAATGAATATTTATCACTATCTTGGTATGGTTATTAGTTGTAACTAAAACATGGAATGAACTAATCAATAAAATCATTTCAATTGAAGAAATGACGATGAAAAGATACAACCACTCAATTAGAAGAAGAAGTTAATACAATTAAAACAAGATTCAATAAAAATAAAGATGAATAGAATACTTGTTATAGTAATTAGTCAAGAAGAGGAGAAAAAAAAAGGCAAAGAAAGAAATAAGATAAAACATACTATTTGATTCAGATATTGATGATTGGAATATTAATACATCAGTATTTGATGAAAGAATAAAAAACATATAATAATTATTATTGAAGATACAAATGGAAATAAATTTGAAGGATATGTTAATGTGAAAATTGATGAAGTTGATTATTTTAAATGGATAAATGATTCAAAATCATTTTTATTTTCAATAGAATCAAAAAGAAGAATACAAGGAATGATGAAATTTGATATTAGATAATCAATTAGATGATTGTTTGTTTGAATTTAGAGATGGAAAATATTATTTGTGTTTATAAAGAAAATAATAAAACGTACTCATACTCTACTCGAATAGCATTTAAATATAAAGAAATAAGAAATACACTTTGTTGAAATGAAGATTTCACATCAAAACGAATCATTGTAATTGAAATGAAATGAAAATATTAAATATTGATTGTTTGAAATATAAAAAATAAAAAAAGAATATAAAATAAAATCAATAAACGAGTATGAACACTTCATTTATCAATCAATGAAATGATGAATATAAAAATATATTTCGTTCTTGTTTTATTTCACTTGAAATATTTACATTCATTGTGTTATTTTAATAAATAATAAGAAGAATTAAAAATAAAAAAGAATAACATAATTATAAGAAGTTCTAATAATTTAATTTATCAAAAAGGAATAATTTAATCTTTTTATGAATACAATAAAAATATAAACTAAAATTTTATTATAAAAATCTTTGTTAAGAGGAATTTCATAATTTTTATACAGTTATTCTTTATTTCAGTATAGTAACTATTATTTTGATTAAAGTTATAATCTAACAATAGTACACATGTGCACAAAGTAAGGAAAACTTATATTATATGAATGTATATGAGAACAAATAATTAAAACATTTTTATTGTTTTTTTTATGAAGTTAAATTAGGTCATAAAGTTATATTGTTTGTAAGAATATAGACTTATTAAAACAAAATAAATAATGAAATTAAGTATCAACAAGATACACTAAAGATGATTATTGGAACAATACATCGTTATTGAACTTTTTATAAGGTGATTTTTCAAATTTCACTTATTTAATTAAACACTATCACTCTTATCAAAGAAAACATAATCATAAAAAGAGACGTATGTTAAATTAGAACTTTTTAATGTTGTTGAAGATAAACCCTAAATTAATACTAAATGTCATACCAACTCTTAATATATAAATGATAATATGATACAAGTTGTAATAGTTATATTATCTTTTAGAAATTGGTGAAATGACTTTAATTTAAATTCTTTAATAATAGTAATTATCAAATAAATTGCATTATTTATAATGATAATCCTTGCTCTTTTCTTTTATAAAGCTTAAAGACAATAAAATAATTTCAAGAGTTATTACCAAAAACAAAACAACAAGTCCATTCTTTTACATTACTTTTATCATAGATTTACTTAATCAGTTATTTCTGTTAAAAAATACTGAGTGTTAAATTTCATCATTATTTGTAAAAAATATTGTATTTTAGTAATTGCCATCTGAATTTATAAATCTCATAAACAAGTTTGTTGAATACAAAACACAATTTATTTTGTGCAAAACAAAAATATAAACCCAAGTTTAAAAACAATCAGATAATATGCTTTTGAATGTTTGTTCAATATAATTAAATTAAGAAAACAAATCAAAATATACAAAAAATAACAAGACAACACCTTTTAAATATTAGGTTCTATGACACTCCAAATGTATTTTTTTTTCAAAGTCAAACAGGTACATTACGTTTATTAAAAGATGGAACTTTGTTCAACAGATTTTGAAATTATATGAAACCTTCAAAATTTTCAAAAGTTTTATTTGAAAAATATGTATTGATTATTTATTTGAAATCCACAAAACTTAAAAAATAAAAGTCTTAATAAAACAAAAGATATTTTTCTTTTTCTCCATATTTTATATAACAACATCAACAAACTATAACATATCAATGAAACAAAGAAAAGATAATAAAGAAGAAAAGAGATGATAAGATTAAGGAAAAGAATAGAAATAAGAAAGGAAGAAAAAGAAACAAAGAATGATAAAAAGATAGAAGAAGAAAGGAAAAGAAGAATAAAAAAGGAAGAATAAAGTAAGAATAATATAAAAAAGAAAGAGAAGACAAGACAAGACAAAGTAAATAAAGAAAGGGAATAATTGAAAGAGGGGTTTAAATAAAATGAAAGAATTAGATGAAAAATAAAAGAAATATTCAAAAAAAAGAATTAATTAGTACATAACATAGTACGATATAAACCAGGGGCAACATATAAATCAAAACTATTTCCTGGAGGAAGTTTTTCACCATCGATACCAATTACGACATCATTTTGTAATCTAATAGATAAAGCAGTTGATCTAAAATAATCAAAACCTGAAATATAATTAGGTACAAAAAGATTTAATACAGCACAAATCCAAAAACCTAAAAATCTCCAACGAGTTGCTCTTTCACCAGGAAGAATCCATGAATCAATAAAACCATCATTTCTATGAGCACCATGAGCAAATTCAATTCCTGGCATTCCATAAGCGAAATTATTAAAAAAATAAATACAATAAGAAGAATAAGGTAATTCTTCCCAACCATCATTTTTAGAGAGAGAAGAATCAGGATCTATATGTTGTTGAATAATTTGATCAGCAATATCTTTTGTATAATCTAGTTCTTTTATTTTATTATTTTTACAAGTAGAACATAATGCTCCACATTCTCCATCATTTGTCATTTCATATTTTTTAGTTTTTATTTTTGCTTTAGTAGTCATAAGTGTAACACAATACCAAAGTGTCCATAAAATAAATCTAAATGCTCCAAGCCATCTAATACATTCACTTTCAAAATCAATACTTGATAAATATGAAAATTCAAATTGTAATATTCCATAATATTTCTTTTTTTTTTTATGATGATTTAATATAATTCCATCAATTCTTGTAACTTCTCCACATATTATATGACACATTCCTGTTATTGGTTCATTATCTTTATATAAACTATATGCTACTCCATTTCCTGATCCACATGCAAGTGGTGATACTATTGGAATTTCTTTTTTATGTTGTGAAATAATTCCATTAATTATTGAATATAATGTTCCATCTCCTCCTCCCGATACAATAACATCATATTGACTAAAATCAGTTTTTTCTGCTATTTCTTTTTCATGTCCTGGATATTCTGTTTTTTGAATTGTATATATTATTCCCATACTTATTAAATATTCTTCTATTTCTTTCATTATTATTTCTCCTTTTTTTGTTCCACTAAATGGATTTAATATAATATATAATTTTGGATATTTTTTCTTTTTATCTATTTCTATTTTCAATTCTATTATTTATTATTATTATTTTTTATTCTTTTTTTTAATTTTTTTTAACAAACTTTTATATTCTTCTTTTTCCATTTTCACTTTAATAACTCGATGCTTTTTAGTTTTTCCTTTAGCTTCAAGAAGATGTCCTACAAACTCTCCTTCTTCATATTTGTAAAGACAAATATCTTTTTTTGCAATTCTCTCTTTTCCTATTTCGATGTATTCTTCTGATTCTCTCATCTTTTTCTTTTTTTCAGTTCTTTCTTCTTTCTCTTTATTCTTCTTCCATTTCTTTATTTTAATTGTTCTTTTCTTTTAATAACTTCTTTATTATTTATTTTCTTTCTCTTCTATTTACCTTTCTTTTGGTTTTCATTCTGTATTATCATTCTTTTATCTTAACCCTAAATTTGTTCATTTTGATTTTCTTCTTTATTACTCTTTTATCATTTGTTCATTTTGTCATTGTATGATAACAATTAATCGTTTATTTCCATTATTCATTATTCATAATATCAATAACTTGTAGTTATGATGTTCGTTAGTTTCAACATACAGTTGAAAGAAGTCATTTTATTAAAATAAAGAATGAGTTAATTAGATATGTACTATTTCTTATTATACTTATATTCTTCTCTATTTTATATGTTTTCTATCTTATCACTTTATTTTTATTACTTTCATTTATATTATTAAAATACTAATTAACAACTTCTTTTTTATTCTACCTTTTAATTCAGGTTATTTTATCATTTAATATATATTTATTTTGTTTTCTTTTCTTATACTTCCTGTTTCTATCTTATTTCTTTCTTGGTGTATTGTTTTATTATTTTCTCATTTTAATTTCTTTCTTTATTCTATTTCCTCTTATTTTTTTTATCTTTTAGTTTCTTATTGTCTTTCTTATAATTTATTCATTTCTATCTTCATTATTCTCTTTTTATTGTTCATTTATTCTTTTAGATTTTTACTTGTATGAGTATTTGATTTATCACCTATCTATTAATTCATTAATTCATATTTTTTGGATTGATTATTTTTCTAATTTATTATCCATTATTCTTTTTATCTAACTTTGTTGGTATATATTTTTGTTCTATTAATTTGTCTTTATTTCTGTTTGATTTTCTTCTTCACTATATTCTACGTTATTTATTTGTTTTATTTTAATTGATTGGATATTATATTTCATTCTTTTATTTTGGTTTATCATCTGTTAATTTCTCTCTTTTATTTATTCACTTTAATGTTTATTACTTTGATTATTTTCTATTTCTTCAATTCTTATTTCTTATTTAACTTTATATTAACAAATTGTTTCAAAGTCATTCATTTCTCTTATTATTCTATTCTATTCTCTCTTTTCATGTGATTTGATTTATATTCTTCCTTGTGATTAACTCCTTGTTGTATTTATTATTGTTCTCTTCCTTTTCATAATTTGCATATTCTATTTTTTCTATTCTTGGTTTGACTTCTTTTCTTTCATTTCTTTTTCTTTAGATACTTTGGCTTTATTTCTTTTATCATTGATAATCATAAAACCAACCAATTTTCTTGTTTATTCAACGCATTTTCTGTCATTATTCTTTCAAATCATCAAGAAATCATTCATTAATTATATACATATTTGTGTTAGTTATATCTTTCATTATGTTCTATTATATTATTTGTTTCTTATTAGATTCATTTTGTTTTTTAAAGTGATTGTAGTATGCTTGTTAAATTCTGTGGAATAGGTTATGTTTATTAATACAATGTTTATTTAATTTCTTTATTTTTGTTTTTTCTATTGTTTTCTTGATATTTATTTTGTAAATGTATTTCATTTCTATCGTGTTAATATTTCAAAATAATCAAAATATTATTTCATATTGTCAGTATGTTCTTAACTTGTATGATTAATCATTAAATTTATTGTAATTAATAATTTCATCATTGATTTTAGAAGAGTGTTAAAATCAAATGAATCAGATTCATTTAAATATAATTAAAATATTTGAATATAATGAATTATTTTGATATTCAATATTAAATCATAATAAGATGATTAAATGAAGAAAGAATTGATGATAATTTCTAATATTTTAATGAACCAAATTAGTATTTCTTATCAATAAATATGTTATTTATGAATATGTTTATCACATCTTTTTAATTTAATTCTTATTTAATTGATATATTACTTATTTATTTAATTTATATCATCTTTTCTTTTAATTATATTTCATTTATTAAAATTATTTTATAATCTTGTGTTTTCATTGTATCAATGTTTTAATTAAATGTTTATTTTAATTAGAATGTTTATCTTTCTAATATTATGTTTTCATATAAAGAATGTTTAAGTATTTTGTTATAGTGTTAGGTTCATAATTTATTTCAACAATTTAATTCATATTATCCATATTCTTTATTGTTATTTCTTTCATTATAATTATTATATTTCATTCTATTTCTATTCTTTTTCATATTCCAAATTGTATTTTATACTTTATTTATTTCTTCTTTATTGTGATATATTTCGGTTGTGAAATATTTTAATTTATTGTATTGTTCTTGTAGATAAAATATCTTATTCTACATATTTATTTGTAATATTCATTCTATATTTCTCATTATTTTCCATTTGTTTATATTATTATTAATTGATTTATTGTTTTAGTATAATAGTAATAATCATCTAATTTATTGTTTGTTATTTCATATCAATTATTGATAACAATTTATTCTTTATTTTTTTATTCTATGAATTAAGAATATCAACATTTTCTTGTTCTTTCTTTTCTTTCTTGTTATGCTTACTTATTCTTTTAATTGTTTATCTTTTTATTTCCTTTTTTTTCAATATTTTTCATAACTTCTTGTTTTGGTTGTTTATTTCTTCCTCATACTTTTCATTGTTTATATTTGTTTTTGTTAATGTATATTCTCTTCTTTTATTTGTGTTTCTCCTTTCTTCTTCTTATTACTCATGTTCATATTTCTTTCATTCGCATTGATAGTATTTAGTATTTAAATATTGTATATTTCTCAAATCTTTCTTCTTTTAATTTCATTGTCTCTCATTGTTGTGTATTTTAGCTTTTCTTTGAATCTTTTATTCTTGATCTTGTATTTGACAATTTCTTTTATTTCTTATTTATTTGTTCTTCTCTATATAGTATGAATTAGAGTAAATTGAATGAATTATGTATTTCTTATTATGCAAAATATTAATAAAAGATAGTTTTAACACCATATGATTGTTATTGAGGAAGATTCATAAATAATATATTAATAAAATGATGAATGAATCACCAAATATTTTATTGTACAAATAGAGAATATGTAGTAATAATTTCTACATCTATTGAAATAAATACTAATGTAATGAATATATTCAAATACTAATAACATGAAATACAATAATGAATAAAACAAAAAGTGATATAATAAATAATGAAAATACAAATAATTGAAATAAGGTGAATAGTATATGTATTATATGTATTAATAATATGTAAAATAAAAAAAGAAACAAGTTGAAATAACTAAATCAAGAAATAAGAAGTAAATAAAAAGAAATAGAAAATTATAATATCCACTTCATTGTATACAATTAATAAATAATTTAATTACATTTAATTATAATGAAAATTAATAATAAGAGATATATCAAAATTGTAATATGACATAATGTATTGAAAATAATAAACAAAAGAAATACATATAATTGATATGATTAATGTAGAAAATGAAACTATATTAAATATTTAAATGAAATAAACGTATTATTATAAATTAAGAATTATAAAAATTAAATATATAGAAATTAAATAGATATAATAAATATTGGTTGATTTATTCATAAATTATCAACAAAAAATAGAAATGAAAAAGATGATATTAAACATAATGATGATAATAAAATTATTATAAAATAAAAGAAAATTATTATCTAATACTTATATCTCGATGATACTTTTATTTTTAATAGAAATAATGTTAAAATATTATGATAATTAAAATAATAAACAAATAAAATGATACTAGAAATAATAAGTAATAAAAAAGAATCTCATCTTATGAAGATTTCATTGATTGAAATGACTTCCTTTTGTATTAATAATTATATTTTGATTAGATAAAGAATTCTTCTACACTAACTATTTAGGAATTTAAAAAAAGAATAATTAAAAAAGAAATACACAGAGAGAAATGAACAGAAAGTATTGAAGAAAAAAGAATAGAAAATGATAGTTGTGATGAATTGAAAATAAGATATAAATAGAAAAATCATTTAAAAAAGAAAAAAAAAATAAAAAAAGAACTTGAAAGAAATAAAATGGAAGAAAATGAAATATGGATGAA